GGAAAAGTTTAATCCACTTGCACTGTTTTATGTTTACATGTTTGATGACAAACAGCCTTATGTTTATAAGTGACAGTTTTCCTGCTAAGTACCTGCATGTCATAAGCATTTGAATTAAAATTACCATATTGAAATCAAATCTGATGTTTTTTAATTTTTATTTGGTGTGTGTTGGAACAGGGGTAGTCTTATACGGTGAGTATAGCCCAAACTCTATATTTTAACTGGAAAAGTTGGGGGTCATCTTATACGCCCAGTCGTCTTATACGCCAGAATATACGGTACTGGCCTAGAAAACAAGAGACTTTTGAGTTTTAAGTCTACCTTAGGCATGAATGATGGCTGAGCTAGTCATGTCTCTGGGCCAGTCACTCTCAGCCCAACCCTCCCTCAAAAGGTTGAAGCTGTGGGGAAAATAGGAGACTGGAATATAGGTATGTTTATCCCTTGTATTTTATATAAAAACATGGAATAAAAATGTAATAATAATCATGTATCATATTTTATTGAAATTATTTGCCAAAATTCTGATTGTTTGAGAAATAAAAAGATCAAGATTTTCCTAAGTACGTGAAGCTGGTTACATCATTCTCTGGGTCTATTGTACATTGATATTTTTGTTCATATCAAATGATCCATAAACATAAATGATATTCTGATGCTTTTATTTTTGAAACACTCTGGTTTTCAGAAATGCATGTAGTTAGGCAGTTTATATAACTAGACATTAATATAGCCGCAGGGGAAAAAATTAATTGTATTAAATGAAAAATTTATTACAAGAAATTTACTGTAAGAGTTCCTACACTGTTAAGTCATCGCATTAGTATTTGATGATGTACTTTTCCAGAAGAGTCAAAAGCCTAAATGAATGATTAAAATGGTCAACCTTACAACAGATTTGTTTCTACAAGAGTACTGATAATACACAGAAGTATTTCATATTTTATACAAAACATACGTCTTTTATAAGAGTTAATCCCCTATCTGTGCCCCCAGAAACATGTCTCATTACCCTACTTGGTCAATCTTTTAGATGACATTCTCCTTAACAGTAAACTAGATAACCTGTGATCCTTTGGATCATCTCTAGAGATTTTTCCTTTGGTAAGAAATTCCTCAAAATCTTTAACAATGACAGAAATTTTAATGTGTTGCCTTCACTGGAAAAGTTGGATACATTCAGAGATGTATTTGCCTTGAAAATAGCATATGTTGAGCTATGTAACAGTCAAACAATATCACCATAAATGTTTTATGACATTTTGTATATGATATCTGTTTTATGATAATTTTTTTCTCTTAAAATTTATAAGATTTGCCAAATTTCAATTCCACAGGAGTCAAATGTCCCACATTTTGGATGCATTTGAGATACCTTGGTTCAAAAAATGTTGCCCCGAGATGCACTGTTTCACCTCAGTTAAACAATAAGAACAAGAATTTTAATAGCAAGTAGATAGATTATCTGGAAAAAATTAAATCTTCCTTTCAGATAAAAAGCATTTCACTGTTCAATATGTATTTATATATTTGAATCTGATCTACCAGTAGCTCCATGAACTGACGGAGCCATTGTTCACATTGTTCAGAAAAAATAGAAAATAGTATGTTCCCAAAAAATTAGAAAAAGCAAATACTTTGGCTAAAACAAATCCAAAACTTTTGGTTAAAATAGTCAGAAGTGGGATACTGATGATTTATATTCAGGTTTGAGAAGTATAATCTACTTCAATGCTGCCTGTGGAATTCTGGGAGTTGAAATCCACATGCCTTAAAATTGTCAAGGTTGAGAAACACTGATCTATAGATAGAGCATAGCTAAGCATAGTCGCTTAATCCTAGACTAAAGTTATTTTAGATCAAAGGGAAGACTTTAGTTAAAACATGCTGAAATACAATTGGCTTGCTTGACGATCAGCATTAAAAGTCTCTCATATACATATATAATGATTTTGGTTAGCCTCATTCAGTGACCATTCAAAAAAAGCAGTTTAATAACTTTAGTTTTATATTGAGAACATTTAGTTCAAACATAGAACAGGAATACAATTTTATTGCATCCAAGCAATTGTTCATAATAAAATTACTAATAAATTGATTATTAATATACTTAGATATAGACTTCATAAGTACCTTCATATCAGGTAAACATGGCCCAAATGCTTCTAAGAGGAGATTTTCATCTCTTACTGCCTTTTCAAAATCCACAAAAGAGACTTTGCCATCGTGATCATAGTCCTATGAAATAAGACATTTTAACCCCTTATTAATCACTATATTTAGACTAAAGCCTTATATATAATTATTTGGGGATAAATTATAATTGGAATTATATGCATGTTTTTTTATTGGCAGGCCAGTCATATTTCATATAATTCCTACTGTAATTTATTTACTTAAAAAATATTCTTCTGGTATTGTTCCAATCTCTAATTCGGCATTGCTGATTTACCCAATAGATTCTCAAGATTATCTGTTTGTTTATTTATTTCATTTTGGCTTTTTTTTCATCCACTAAGTATATGAATGAAGCCCAACTGAGTTAATTGGGTAAACTATTAGTATTATCTAAACACAATAAGTTGTATTTTAAAATTTATTATACTTGCCATTTTCTTCAGTGTTATTTCTACCAAATCTTTAATTCCTTCATCGGGATCTTCCTCTGAAGGCTGTTTTAGCAGACTGTTTTTCAGCATATGAAACATTTCTTCTCGTGAAATATATCCATCACCATTCAGGTCATAAACCTCAAAGCAGTCTAAAAGGGATAACTGCATTAACTGCATACATGTCAAACAAAATGCCTTCCAGATAATTGAAAATAACAGTAATTAAGTTGTAGTTAAAGAAGGCTAAGTATTTGGTAATAAATAAGACTAATTAGACTGTACAGTATGTATCATATAGATCAGGGGTATCAAACTGCCGGCCCGCAGGCCGGATGCGTCATGAGGAAACCGTGCCCACCCCATTGCCGGCAATGGGGAAAAAGTTCCAATACATCGTGTGACGTCATATGACGTCGCGGGTTTGACATGTCTGGTATAGATAGAAAATGTACAATATAGTGTATTTTTACAATGTATTTCATAATGAATTTTCCCTAAATTCAAATTAACATGAAAATCAATTTTTACTAGGAAAATCTTACATTTCATCTTTTCTTCCAAAGTCCCTCGAAGAAATATTGATAAGCCTTCTACCCATTCTGTTACACTAACACAGCTGTCATTGTCTTTGTCAAAAGCACGGAACACTGAAAGAAAAACAAGATTATTCTTTTATTTCAGAGTTGGCATTTGCATTTAAATGCATTTATCTTGAGTATGAACATTGCCTATACCTGTGTATATGGTCAGTGTCTGAATGTCTGAGACTTGACAACACAATAAAAGTAATGAAACAGTAATCATAGAATAGAATTAGAAGGGACCTTGGAGGTCTTCTAGTCCAGCCCCTGCTCAAGCAGGAGAACCTACACCATTTCAGACAAGTGACTGTCTAGTCTCTTCTTAAAAATCTCCAGTGATGGAGTGCCCACGATTTCTGAAGGCAAGCTGTTCCACTGGTTAATTGTCCTCACTGTTAGGAAGTTTCTCCTTAATTCCAGGTTACTCTTCTCTTTGATCAGTTTCCAACCATTGTTTCTTGTCCTGCCCTCTGGTGCTTTGGAGAATAGTTTGACGCCCTCTTCTTTGTGGCAGCCCCTCAAATACTGGAATACTGCTATCATGTCACCCTGTTTCTTCTTTTCTTTAGACTAGCTAAATCCAATTCCTGCAGCCCTTCTTCATATGTTTTAGTCTCCAGGTCTTTGATCATTTTAGTTGTTCTTCTCTGAACTTTTTCCAAAGTCACGACATGTTTTTTGTAGTATGGTGACCAAAATTGGTATTCCAGGTATGGTCTTACTAGGGTTTTATAAAGCTGTACTAATACTTTGCGTGATTTCGATTCTGTGCCTCTGTTATACAATCCAGGATTGTATTAATTTTTTTGGCTGCTGCTGCACACTGCTGGCTCATAGTCAAGTGATTGTCCACTAGATCTCCAAGATCCCTCTCACAGTTACTACTATTGAGCAAGGTGCCACCTATATTATACATGTGCATTTGGTTTTTCTTGCCTAAATGTAGAACCTTACTTTTTTCACCATTGAATTTCATTTTGTTAGATAGCGCCCAATGTTCATGTCTTTCAAGATCCTTCTGTACCTTAAGCTTCGAGTGTTGTAATGTTGGCTATTCCTGCCAGTTTGGTGTCATCTGCGAATTTGATGAATTCCCCATCTATCCCTTCATCCAAATCATTGATGATGTTGAAGAGCACTGGGCCCAGAACAGAGCCCTGGGGCACTCCACTACAACTTCCCTCCATGTAGATGCAGTTCCACTGAGGACCACACATTAAGTACGGCCGGTCAGCCAGTTACGAATCCTGGTGCTGATGCTGTGTAACCCAGATTTTTCTATCTTATAAACTAGTAGGTTGTGGTCTACTTTATCAAATGCCTTACTGAAGTCCAAGTAAATTATATCCACAGCATTCCTCTGGTCCACTAATTTTGTCACCTGATCAAAGAATGCAATAAGATTTGTCTGGCATGATCTGTTTTTGACAAACCCATTTTGGCTTTGGTAATGATTTTGTTTGCCTCTAGGTGTTTGCTGATTCATTGTTTAGTTATCTTTTCTAGAATCTCCCAAGTATTGAGGCCAGGCTGATAGATCTGTAGTTTTCTGGATCCATTTTTTTTCCTTTTTTGAAGATGGGAACTACATCAGCTCTTTTCCAGTCCTCTGGTAGTTCCACAGAGCTCCAGGAGCTTTTAAAGATATAGTTCAGTGGTTCTGAGATCACATTTGCCAGTTCCTTCAGAACCTTGTGGTGTAATCCATCTGGTCTTGGTGATTTGAACTTGTCTAAGATGGGCAGGTACTCAGTTACCATTTTCTTGCCTATCTTAAATTGTGTTTCTAATCTGTTTTTTACAGTAATGTTTTTGATAGGTTGGACTGTTTTTTCCCTTTGTGTAAAGACAGATGCAAAAAACAAGTTAAGTAGTTCTGCTTTCTCCCTGTTGCTTGTCACTTTCTTGCCACTTTCTTCCACTAATGGACCAATTATTTCCTTAACCTTTTTCTTGTTATTAATATGTTGAAAGAAACTTTTTTTTAATTATCCTTGATTTTTGTTGCAAGTCTTTGTTCATTCTGAGCATTTGCTTTCCTGAGTTCATCTCTGCATATTCTGGCTGTCTAATCAGCCTTAGTTATATGTCCCTGTCTCCATTTTTTGTACCTGTTGTTTTTGTCTTTCAATTTGTCAGAGAGATCTTTGAGCAGCCATGCTTGTTTCTTCTTAAATTTCTTGTTTTTCTTTTTGAGGGGTATTGTGCTGGACTGGGCTTTTATGATAGCATTTTTCAGAGTTTCCCATGCTTCTTGAGTTGTTTTCCCCTTTAGGATTTTCATCCATAGAATCTTTCCTAGATTCTCTCTGAGTTTGTTAAAATCAGCTCTTTTGAAGTTTAAGACACTGGTTGAATTATTTTCTATTGCTTGTGTTTGCATTATATTAAATTCCAGTATAGAGTAATCCCCAAAGTTGTAACATTACATTATAAAATCTCATAAATATAACCATTAAGCAGCTAAAGCCAGTCTTCAACTCAGACATCCCCTAAGTAATTCCTCCAATGCCTCTGCAAAAGAAGACTATCTTCATAGGCTTTCATGTTTGAATCAAAGTTTCTGATATGATATGGAGATCCATTATTCAAATTTTACTGAATCTCAAGTTCCTGGAAAATTTAAAAAAACAATTTCATAACATTTAAACATAGTTTTAACAACATTTTAATATTGCTATGTTCTCTCTCCTTTTTTTAAAGCAAAAAAGGGTTGAATATAGTTAAGGCTTGGATGGGAGATCACTAGAAAATACTAGGTCTGTGGGCTAGACTAGGAAATTGAAAATATCCCAGAAGTCAATAGCAAATCTCTTCCATATTGGCATATGGAAGTCTCAAAGAGAGAAATTCAACTCCAAGGAGGTTTTATATTTTACACCATATATTGCCCAACAGTGTACAAACAGTAAATATTGATTAGTGTCCAAAGTCAGCTTATATTATCTATAGCTGAAGCATTTCCAGATCTTTATTAAAATTACAATTCGCATTTCTAGCTCTGGATCAATATAAATATTTTACTAGAGCTATTGCTATTTGTTACACGTGGGGACATTAAAAAGGCCAAATGATATAGAAACCCAAATACTACAAGAGGGTCAAATAATATTATCAATAGAACTCAGTATTGCAGGAGAATAAATCCTACTCAAGGCTTATCAATTATGAACAGTGAATCATGTTAAATAAAACAGGAACAATTTGGACTTCCATGCGATTTTCAAACTTCATGAATTAACCAATATAGAAATGTTTTCAAAACTGCAATCTGAAATAACTTTTCAAAAATATTTTAAAATACAATAATTTATGAGCGTTGATTTAATCTCACCTCTGTCCATAATCATGTCATCTGTCATTCCAAATGTCACATGTAGAATATTGCGAAATGAGTTGCGATCTAAACCAACAACAGCATGTCTGTCGCTGGGTTCCACATCCAGATTGTTGAAAAGTTTTATGAGACATTCCACTTCAAATTTATTAACTACAAAAGGAAACAGTGAAACAAAATAAACAATGAAGATTTATTTGTTCATCATCGAATGTAAATTTGAATATGTATCTCCCCGGTACTCTTAATATTGCCGTTCTCAATTAAGGTTACTCCGCTGGCAAGGAATTCTGGGAGTTGTAGTTTCAGCATCTTTGGGTGGAAAGCTCAATCTTATCCAGTCGAAGTAACAATATAAAAACAATTGTCACGAATTCTCTGATCTATTAATGAACCCAGGAGCGGCTGGGTTTAAAGAGGTACAGAGGAAAGAGTAGATCCAATTTTCACTCACAATGTTTAGCGGATTTGCACAGAGACTCGGTAAGCTTCTGCAGCTTCTTTCTGTTCATTTTGAGCTTTCTGGCTCCCGCTGCGCCCGGTTGTCACAAGCCAAGCTGTTACCATGGCAACAACAGAGCGAATGTTGCCGCCGGGCCCGGATGTAACGAGCTCAAAGACAATTGTAGGCCGGACCTGCAAATTCCGGCACGTTTTATATTTATCTTTGTGAGAAGGCAAAACCCGGCTTTGGGGCTCTGAACTGGCTCATTCCTCTGGTTTTCCATAAGGAAGAATCCCAGGCCAGACGGGAGAGGCAGAAAATGGGGAGATCCAATTCGCCTGACGGCCTTTTGCAGAGATTTGAGGCAAAAGCATTTTCCGCAAGAAATTGGAAGCGAACATGAATTGAAGATTTTTAAAAATGATTATACAGGTAGTCCTCGACTTACAACAGTTCATTTAGTGGGAAAGACAGATTCACTTAAGAATCATGTTACTAACTTAACAATTGCAATGATTCAATAACTCTGGCAAGAAAGGTAAATGGGGCAAAATTCACTTAACGACTGTCTCGCTTAGCAACAGACATTTTGAACTCAGTTGTAGTCGTAAGCTGAGGACTACCTGTAATTAGGAAAAAACTTCATCACTATTGTTGAAATATTTGAGCTGACCCTCCCTCCCCTCCCCCTTCCAGGAAAGATCTTGGTTACTTGACTTGTTCCATTTTTTCCCAAATGGACTAGCCTGGAACTGCTGTGTTACAAAGACATTGCTAAGATTTTCCTGGAGTCTAGCTGAACTTGATTCCTTGCTAATATAGAAGTACCATTGTTGTGTTTTAGGATGCTTTTCTGAATTCTCTGATCCTCAGTTATGGGATTTCCTGGTGGTTTTCCATTCAACTAATGAAGTTCAACCTTCCTAGAAGTTTAGAGCTGACATCATCCTTGGAAAAAGAAACCATCCAGTCCAATCCCAAATGAATACAGAATAACAGAGTTGGAAGGTTTTCTAGGCCACGGGTGTCAAACCTGCCACATATTGCGATTCTTTTTGCATTGGCAATGGGGTGGGCGCGGCTTCGGTATGATGAAACCAGCCCACGGGCCGGCAGTTTGATATCCCTGTTCTAAGCCAATCCTCCTGCTCAAACAAAAAACCCTATATCATTCTGGACAAATAGCTGTCCAATCTCTTCTTAAAAACATGCAGTGGTGGAGCACCGATAACTTCGGGAGGCAAGCCGTTTCACTGATTAATTGATTAATTGTTTTTATTGTCAGGAAATTTCTCCTTACTTCTAGGTTGGACCTCTCCTTGATAAGTTTCTATTTGTTACTTGTTGTCCTGTCCTCAGGTTAATCCTCTCTGATAGCTATCCCTCGTCCTTTTCTTCATTAGATATACCCAGTTTCTGCAACCATTCATCATATATTTTAGCCTCCAGTCCTCAATCAATTTTGTTGCTCTTTTTTGCCTTCTTTCTAGAATCGCGACATCATTTTTGTATCCTGATGACTAAACTGGATGCAATATTCGAAGCGTGATCTTACTAAAGCACTATAAAGTGGCACTAGCAGTTCATATGATCTTGATACTGCCCTTCTGTTGATGTAGCTCAGAACTATACTGACTTTTTTGGCAGCTGGAGCATACTGCCATGGAAATGTAGGAAGCAAATACAGGGTAGATCAAAAGAAATATCCAATGGTTATAGTATAGACTAATGCTCAAAGTATGAGGAACAAAAAGGTTGAACTTGAAATCTTAGTACATGAGAGCAATTGGCTTCTAGTAATAGCTTTGGTAGTTTCTAGGTGTTTGCAGATCTGTTTTTTGATTATCATTTCCAGGATCTTCCCAGGTATTGATGTCAGGCTGATCTGTAGTCTCCTGGATCCATTTTTTTCCTTTTTTGAAGATGGGAACCATATCAGCTCTTTCCCAGTCCTCTGATAGTTCCAAAGATCCTCCAAGCTCCTTTAGAACTCATTTCCACATGGTTTAACCCAAAAAGGTGATGTATACTTTACCCAAAAAATAGTAGATTATGTAATATGTGGAATTTCAGCATTCTAGAATTCCCTCATTCTTCAGTACTGCACAACAGTCTTGCTTGATACATTCTGAGTGAAAATAATAAAAGATGTAGAAAAATACTATATGCGAGATGCACAATGTCTAACACTGGCTCTCAGGACTCAGGCAGAGATTCTTGATCCAATGGCTACATAATATTTTAGTGTGAGATACCATAGACTGAATTTTTATTTTCTCCATAGAAACATAGAATAAGGGCCAAATTTATTACCACTATACTTGTAGAAGCCCTGGTGGCACAGTAGTTAGAATGCAGATTGTAGGATAACTCTGCTTATAATCTGGAATTTGATCCCAACAGGTTCAGAGTTGAGTCAGCTTTCTATCCTTCCAAGGTCTGTGAAATGATGACCCAGATTTGGGGGGGGGGGGGAGAAAATATGCTGATGTTATAAATTGCTTAGAGACTGAGGTAAAGTACTATGGGGCAGTGTATAAGTCTAAGTGCTATTGCTATTGCTATCCTTCCGTTAGTGAACTAATTGTTTCTTTATTTTTTCTTGTTTTTTACATGCTGCAAGAAACTTTTTCTATTATTTTTGACATTTGATGCAAGTTTTAATTCATTTGAGCCTTAGTTTTCCTGACTTCATCTTTGCAGATTTGGGCTACATGCTAATATTCTACCTTAGTTATGTGTTCCTCTTTCTGTTTGGTATATTTGTCCTTTTTATCTTTCAGTTTATCAGAGAGTGTTCTATGAAACCATGCTGTTTTTTTCTGGGATCTCTTTTTTTCCCCCAGTAGTATTGTGCTAGACTACACTTTTATAATCACACTTTTCAAAGTTTCCCAAGCTTCTTGGGTTGATCTACTTTGTCAAATGCCTTACTGAAGTCTAAGTACACAATGTCCACAGCATTATGATGGTCCACTAATTCAGATATTTTGTCAAAGAATGTAACAAGGTTTGTTTGGCATGATTTGTTTTTGACAAGACATAACACAACCTATTTCTCTGTAAGATAGAAAAATATGGGATAGACAAAGTTAAAATGGTTTTGTAACTCACTCACCAATTGCACTTAGCATGTAATCCTCAATGGAATAACATCTACATGAAGAGAAGCATCCATTAGGATATTCTAGGGTTCTGTCTTAGGCCCAATACTCTTCAATGTCTTCATAAACAATTTAGGTGAGAGGATAGAAGGGGAACTCATCAAATTTGCAGATGACACCTATCTGGGGGAAATAGCCAACAGTTTAGAAGAGGGATCTTGACAGACTTAAAACTGGGCCCCATCCAACAAAATGCAAGTCAATAAAGTTTTAGATAAGAAAAAATAAACCATAAGTATAGAATAAGTAGTATGTGGCTCAATAGCGCTAACTATTAAAGGGATCTAAGAGTCTTAGTGGACAACAACTTAAATATGAGCCAGAAGTGTGCTGTAGCTGCCAAAAATGTCAATGACAATGGCAGATGTCTTCTAAACCATGTGTCCCAGCTGTTCAGCTCATTGTCTCTTTCATGAAGTTTAATATTGTTCATCAACCCTCAAGCAGTTATTACATAAAAATAATTTAATGAAACCTACTTTAATAATATGAACAATAACGTTGACCCCTTGGATGTTTTCATGTACTCTTGGAAGTCAATATTGACACTTTGGGGAACCTGATCAAACAGTTAAATGTCTTCTGAGTTGAGTTTGAACCTTGATGATTACATGAACATTACCATGTTTTGGCATCAATATAATAATAATAATTTCCCGTCTATAAGACACACCCTTGTATAAGACGCCCCCCAATTACTGGTACTTCTCAGTACCATCACACAAGGGAGGTGACTTCCTCCAATCAGATAGCACTCTGCGGGCTTAGTCCCGCCTATCCCCTCGGCTGTCAATCACTGTACTGAGGCGGCTTCCCGGGGCCTCTTGCGGCTTCAGCCCGAGCTGCGCCGGTGAAAAACGGGTCATAGAAGTCTTCAGTGGGACCGGTGGCATCCTTGGGGCAGCGCGATCCTCCAGCACCAGGTGGCATCTTGGGCGGGCTTTCTCCCCATCCAGGTGGCATTTCGGGCCAGCGATATCCTCCTGCACCAAGTGGCATGGCAGCGGCATGTAAAGAACCCACACAGGCATGCCCTGGGCTGTGGAGGTTACCATTATTTTTTCGTGTATAAGACGCTGCACTTATATAAGACGCGCCTGATTTTTTAACAGGGTGTTTGCAGGAAAAAATAGTGTCTTATACCTGGAAAAATACAGTATTTTATTTTACTTTGTAATCTATATAAATAAAAATGTAAATGTTCGTCTGTTCAAAATCTTAAATCTCCGAAAGTTCTTCACCGATTGCTTTGAAATTTTAACACAACGTTGCATTCGAATACGCACATGTTTTTATATACCTACTATTATATAGATGTCACACCTGTGACAGGTAAAACATGCTTTTTTAAAAAAACAGCGCCATCTGTTGGCTGAGTGAACGAGAGCCACAGCAACGCGTGGCCGGATACAGCTATCTATATCTATAAAAATGTAAATGTTCGTTTGTTCAAAATCTTAAATCTCCAAAGGTTCCTCACCAATTGCTTTGAAATTTTGACACAACGTTGCATTCGAATATGCGCGTGTTTTTATATACCTACTTTATATAGATGTCACACCTGTGACAGGTAAAAACATGCTTTTTTGAAAAACAGCGCCATCTGTTGGCTGAGTGAACGAGAGCCACAGCAACGCGTGGCTGGGTACAGCTAGTGTAAAATAAAGGAGCTTGTCAGCAATGAAACAACTCCCATTAAGATTACACAAGGTTTTAGAATGCCCAAAGACATTGTTTCCTTATAGCCTGCTTATAAGAATTATAAGTGTTATCAAATAAATTATCCCTACAAAATTATTTGTCACATTGATTAATAAAATTTTCAAGTAAGTTCTAATAAATTTATCTAACTTTTTAATAACAGATTCGTACAGTACAGACTCTTAATTATCCTTTTTGCCACAATCACCAATTGCATCTTTAATTATACTAATGCAACAATATT